TTTTATGCGATTTTAGAAAATTACGGAACGTATCCCTACTTTTTCAAGGCAAGTAAAGTCTTTTTTTATGCGAATTTTTTATATGCGCTTTTCTGTAGAACATATCCACCGCATAAAACGAGACCTTACAGTATATTGAAAAATATAAAAACAAAAAAAAATTATACTTTAGAAGTTAATCTAGTATCAAAAACGTTTGATTTAGCATGACACACAGTCCTGAGAAAAACACCACAGAAAAGTGCCAGTGCTGCCAGCTAAAAAACACACATCAACAAGAAAATATTGGAGTAGCCCAAGATATAGCCAAAGATTGCAGTGCCACAGCACTAGCGAAAATTTAAATTTGCCGACTGGAATTCTTTCGGATAACCGACGTTTCGGATAAATGACACTCTACTGTATTTAAAGAGGATACAAGATAAATGAAAAAAGTTTTATTTTTTATAGCAGTTTATTTTTTCTTTTATTCATTCTGAAAAGGATTCATTTGTCTTTTTTTCTTAATTATCTAAATTTATATGGTATTACCAAATTTTTTTGTTGTTTACTTAAAATTTTTCTTTTGTTAAAAAGATTAAAAGTAAACCTTTTTCCCTGAGAATTATTTTTTCTTGTTACCAACTTTTGGAGGTGATTCAATAAGGTTTATAAAGAAAGAATAATTTGTGAGATAAAAAAAAAATTGTAATGAAAAAAGAATTTTAAATAACACCAACCTCATTAATTTTTAAAATTCCTTTTTATAGTTTTGTTGTTACTTTCCTAATAAAGTTTCATTTTTCAGGAAACAATTAGAACTGCTTTAGCAATGGGAGCTGATAGAGGAATTCATGTAGAAATAGAAGAATCACAATATGCATTTCTTCAGCCAATTCATGTTTCAAAAATATTAGCAAAACTAGCACAAGAAGAAAAGATTGATCTTATTATTTTAGGAAAACAAGTAATTTAGGTTTATTTAATTTAATGATTTTTTGATTTTGTTTTATTTGTAGTTTTAAAAAATTCTCTTTTAGGCAATTGATGATGATGCAAATCAAACTGCTCAAATGAGTGCTGCAGTTCTGGATTGGCCACAGGTATGAAACTTATAAACTACATATATATATATACACTTATATACTTTAAAAATCTTAAACACACAAGTTCCAAAAAGAAAAAGAATATTCATTAAAAATATAGGAATCTCTTGTCAAGCATGGTTTTGAAATAACACAATTTTTATCAAGAATTGAATCAATGAAAATATTACAAAAAGCTTTTATAATATTATAACATTTAATATTTTGATTACCAATAATTACCTTTTAAAATACAGTATAATGTTTAGTTTATATAATTAAAAAATTATTTATAATTAAATGCCAAAAATAACACTATTCTTTTCATCTATTTCTGTTGGCATACTACCAAATTTGTCATTTTATAAACATTGATTTAGTCACTAAATGTAGCTTGAGTTTTAAATGAGGACTGGAAACATTGTTGATGACTTATAAAGAAATGCAAAAAGATTGAAAAACTAAAATGAGTGAATCTTCAATGATTAGCTTTTTTTGTGGAGAGAGCTGTAATGCTTTTTAATCAGTTTTAACTTTTAAAATTTCTCATTTCTTATTATTTACTAAACTTTTCATTACATTATTGTATTTTTGGTGTAAAATTAAATTAATTATTATATAACATACATTTAGCATTGTGGTTGTTCTTATTCTTGTAATCCTTTATTGCTTGTAGAGCTTCTATTTTATCATGTAACCATGCCATTATAATTCAGAACATAATCTGTGCGGTTGGCAAAGAATGCCTGCATTAGACTTTCTATTTAAAAAGTATTCCATTGTTACAATGAAATTAGTTTATCATTATAGTAAAATGTAAACGTGCTTTCATTTATTGTTTCAATTGAATTCAATAAGCAAAGTTAAAAATAAAATATTTTTGAGTGTAATTTAAAATATAAATGTAAATTATTAATTACAGGAAAAATGTAAATGGATGATTTAATTTTATTGAAGTTTTCCCTATCTTTATTCCTAATAAAATAATTTTTAGAAATGATAATTTTAAAAAAAGACTGATTTTTTAATAATATTTGAACTCATTCGTAGATGATAAATAATCAGTTTGAAATAATAGAGAAGTATTTAAAAGAGGGAAAAGAAAAAAATTATTCAGAAATGGTTTAAAAAGTTGACTTACCTATTTGAATTATTCTAATTCAACTATTGCTAAAGGTAATAAAATTCAGAATGCTCAATAAAAATGTACATATTGATTTATATAGTAATCAGTGTAATTTATTATTTTTTTTTTTAGTTTGAATTTTACTAGTTTATCAAATCAAATAATATAAAAATATTTTTGGCTTTGATTATTGTCATCATTGTACTTATCTTAGGGTCTGGAGTTGGTAGATCAAGCCAGCCTCTGACTCTGACTTCAAATCATAGAAGTTTAGGTCTAACTCCAGCTCTGACTTCTACATCTAAATAATTTAAAATATACTTTGAATATATAAATCCAAAATGGCATTTCATCACTACCAATGAATCATCAGCTACTTTTTGAGCATTTTTTAGTGAATCATAGGTATTCCTATTAAAATCACTGAAAGTATTTATCTTTTTCCACGGTGTTTTTCATTATCACCATCAACATCATCATCATCATCAACCATAGTGACAAAGATCATGATGATGGAGAATCATCATAAAATAAGATGTCATTAGGAACTTTACTAATATAAAGTACAGAAAAAAGGAATAGGTCCATTTTTACAAACTCCTCAGCCCTGGATAACTTATAGATTATACACCACAAAAATACAGTATATTTTTAGAATTAAGAAGAATTACAGTATATTTTAGAATTAAGAGAATATGGTACGTTGTAATTACAGTAGAGCATCGTTTATCCGAATCAATTGGGGACTGGGGTTGTTTGGATAACTTATTTTTCGGATAACCAATTATGTACGAAAAACTACATTAACCTATCCCATGTTGAAATTTTTCTCCATTGTGTGTTGCTTCGCGTTGGATTTTTGTCGATGTTAAGCCTAATGTAAACTTTTTAAAATAATAATCATGGCTATTGTATTGTTAAAAATTATTTCTTTATTTTTTACAAACAAAATAAATATATTGAAAAATATAAAAACAAAAAAAATTATACTTTAGAAGTTAATCTAGTATCAAAAACGTTTGATTTAGCATGACACACAGTCCTGAGAAAAACACCACAGAAAAGTGCCAGTGCTGCCAGCTAAAAAACACACATCAACAAGAAAATATTGGAGTAGCCCAAGATATAGCCAAAGATTGCAGTGCCACAGCACTAGCGAAAATTTAAATTTGCCGACTGGAATTCTTTCGGATAACCGACGCTCTACTGTAAACGAATTTGTGCATTTGACATCATGTTGTAAATTGCCGAATTTTTGATGGTCCACCCATTACTTTTTTTGATTGCTTCATCTCATGCATTTAAGTTTTAAATCAACCGATTTTAGATTGCCACGCATACACCTTCATGCAATTTCGCATACCCCCGGGGTACGCGTACCACTAATTGGGAACCATTGCTCTAGATCAGTGGTTTCCAAAGTGTAAAGAGAATCCTTCCTTCATCAACTGATGAAACATGGACCAAGTCCTACAAACTAGAGTTGAAATGGTAAATACGCGATGCTGCCAAACCCCTGCACCCAAAGAAACTGCAGCATGAACTAGGTAAGGCAAAAATGATCACGATCATAGCATGCAACAGTATTCTATGATCCAAGGGGTCCTTTTGTCTCTTTGTGTAGCTCAGAGTTAATAATAGATACTACACTGCCACTTCCTTGATCATCATCATCCAACAACTTACCACAAAAGAACAAATTGCTGCAATCACATTTAATTATCTTGCACAACAATGTGTGCAGCCATTCTTTATAAGGGCAGATATTGCTATGAAGATGTCAGTGGCTGATACTAGAGCACCATACTCACCTGACATGAATCCACATGACTGACCTTTTTCAAAAATGAAAGAACTTACAGACAAGTAGTTCCAAGACGTTGACATCATCTTTAAACAGTCTCTCCAGATATTGACTAAAAGCAATGCCGCTGATAGTCTTCATCACCTCCTAGAAGTTTGGCAGAGGGTTAATCATGAAGAGAGAAACTACATGAAATGACCATGACCATCACCCATTTGCTTTATTTTAGAATTAATAAATTACAACATTATCAACATTGCAGATGTAATGNTTGTCGCATATTGTCTTGGTCTGTATCGAGAATTACATGGTTGATTTCACATGCCGCCTATTATGTTTCTCGAGTCCTCGGATGCGTCCCTATATCTGTTTCCTCGATGCCTGGGGAATTCTGTGTGACTTCTTTGCTGCCTTAGTTTGTCTAATTGCTCTTGTAATTGCCAGATTGTTTCATCCATAGATCTATCGGAGTATGTATCTCATGGCCCTCAAGAGTCTCGGGAGTTGTTGCCCAGTATTCTTTGGGGTTGATATTGTGTTCGTGAATCCAGATATATGGAATGCCTTATAATAATTACTACATATTAAAAAAAAACTATATTGACAAAATGTATGCAAGTTTAGTTTAATAAGAAATACATAATAGTGAGGTTGCAGCCGAAGTTTTCATCTCTAAAATGTGAACGTCGAGTGCCACTATCTTGAAAGTGGCACTTGATGTTCACGTTTTAGAGATGAAAACTTTGGTCATAACCTCGCTAATAATACATAAAAAAGCTTCAAAATTGTTGTTTTTCCGCTTTTTCATTTGGAAATTTGTCAATCACTTCCTCTAAATCAAGTTGACGAGCTATTGTTTTATCAATTGTTATAGTTGCCAAAGAGCTAAGACAATGTTGTTACATGCTGCTACTTAAATACATTTTGATTACAGTTTTGAAAAACTTTGTTCAGCTGTTGCTGTTGTCACAGGTAAAGTAAAAAAAAAAAAAAATATGAGGCATCCTGCAATAATGTCAGAGAAGCCACTTGAGGCTGCAGTGTGAATTAGAATTAGTTCAGAAACTTTGCGTATAAAGGTTTAAGTGAGTATTAAAACACATTAAATTGAAGCAATTGAGATCCGAAACTAGGCAAAATGTCGGAGGGATATGCCAATTGTAACAATTCTGATCTTTCCAGCATACAGTAGAGCATCGTTTATCCGAATCAATTGGGGACTGGAGTTGTTTGGATAACTTATTTTTCAGATAATTGATTATGTACGAAAAAATATATTAACCTATCCCATATTGAAATTTTTCTCCGTTGTGTGTCGCTTCGCCTTGAATTTTCGTCAATGTTAAGCCTAATGTAAACTTTTTAAAATAATAATCATGGCTATTGTATTGTTAAAAATTATTTCTTTATTTTTTACAAACAAAATAAATATATTGAAAAATATAAAAACAAAAAAAATTATACTTTAGAAGTTAATCTAGTATCAAAAACGTTTGATTTAGCATGACACACAGTCCTGAGAAAAACACCACAGAAAAGTGCCAGTGCTGCCAGCTAAAAAACACACATCAACAAGAAAATATTGGAGTAGCCCAAGATATAGCCAAAGATTGCAGTGCCACAGCACTAGCGAAAATTTAAATTTGCCGACTGGAATTCTTTCGGATAACCGACGTTTCGGATAAATGACACTCTACTGTATTTAAAGAGGATACAAGATAAATGAAAAAAGTTTTATTTTTTATAGCAGTTTATTTTTTCTTTTATTCATTCTGAAAAGGATTCATTTGTCTTTTTTTCTTAATTATCTAAATTTATATGGTATTACCAAATTTTTTTGTTGTTTACTTAAAATTTTTCTTTTGTTAAAAAGATTAAAAGTAAACCTTTTTCCCTGAGAATTATTTTTTCTTGTTACCAACTTTTGGAGGTGATTCAATAAGGTTTATAAAGAAAGAATAATTTGTGAGATAAAAAAAAAAAAATTGTAATGAAAAAAGAATTTTAAATAACACCAACCTCATTAATTTTTAAAATTCCTTTTTATAGTTTTGTTGTTACTTNTAAAATTACGCGAAAAAAAAAATACAATAGCTCTGTGGAGAACTCCCATAAACTATCTACTGTTTATGAAAGTTTAGAAGGCCGTACCAATGGCTTAGCCTTTGAAAGGAAGGACGAAGAGGAGGAGGAGAGCGGGATTAGAGGGAATATGAAGCAAGAATGATAGGAAAGTGTGAAGTGAGATCTCATGAGCAACCAGCATCGAGTCCGTTTATTGAAACCAAAATAGAAAATTAGAGTGTAGGCACCTGCCAAAAGTAACAACAATGAGAGTGCTCTCTGACACAACAATGAGCATGACAAAATGTACTGTACATAGGACGCGACAAACAAGAGAACATTTAGAACTCCCAGCTTGGGAGCTGCCCTGGAGGCCTAACAAAAGAAAATACAATTGACCCAGGGAGTGGAGAACCCTGGAGCAAGCCAGGGTAGTCCTTGGTGAAAACGCGGTCGGCTTCAAAACCAGAAGCCTGGAGAGTACAACTGGTACTCTTTACAGTAAAACTCCCGTAAACTGTGACCTATCGACCCGAACGTTTCGCCAGCACCTCACCGATAACGAGAAAGACGCAAGTTTAAAATTTTAGCTCTTTAAATCCAGTATATTCTATGAACTTATGGTAATGCCGGTTTTTTTTTGTATGGTAAAAGCTTTTTTTGTGATTTTCAATTGCTTATATTTCGGCAACCCCTTTACAGAAAAGCGTGAAATTTTGCACACTATGTTAGAAAACAAGTATCTTTCGAATGAGATATTCTGAATTACTATTGTCTTACGGAGAGCGGAGAAATCGATCCCCGAAAATACTGATTCCTGTATATATAGTAGTCAGTTACTTATTACGATTAGCACGGAGTCACTGCCGTGACTCACGATTTCTAAACGTGTCGTTCTAATTTTCTAAATTTAGATTTTTTAGAAATTTTTTTAGAAATTTAGAAATTTAAATTTTTAAATTTCTAAATTTAAAAAAATCATAAAAATTGTTTTGAAAATTTTCTTGCTTCACGAAATATTTATTGAGTAAACGGCTAAATTTCATTTAAATTTTCGTAACTAGTTCTTGTAATTTTTGTTTTATGAATGGAGTAATTAAAGTAAAACGTTAGCTTTTGTTTTTTTTACTTTCTAAATTACAGACATTATAATAATATACACATATATTCCTCAAAGAACAACACAAGCATACTAAATAAAACTTGTATTAAAAAGTGTTTAAAAATAGTTTACATATAGATTTTAAATCATTTATACATAATAACTCAAAGTAGACAATACGGTTAAGTAGTCAAAATAATAATAATAACAACACATAAAGTTAAACTTCGAACAGTTACCACCAGTCACGAATTATCTACTTGCACACACACAAATATTAAAAGATGATTAATATTTGGTCCAGAAGCCGCCTTTCTCTATAACCTTTTCCAATCTTTTCGGCATGCTGTTGACCAAAACTTCGCAGATGTTTCTTTCACGTAAGGAATTCCAACGCTGACATACTTCCTCCCACAATGCATCGGGTGTGGTGGCATAAAGCGGCTCTCTAACCAATTCCGCCCACAAATTTTCTATGGGATTCAGATCGGCTCCTCTACCCGGCCAATCGATTAATTCTAATCTTTCTTGCGTCTCTAGCCAAATCATCGTTACTTTTGACGTGTGGATCGGCGATCGGTCTTGCACAAATGGCACCTTCATCGATGGCTCCAACGCTTTTAGGGATGGTATGAAAGTGTTTTTCAATATTTTAATGTATTGTTTCGCTGTTAGGTTACCGTTTATTCTAACCAATTCACCGGGACCGTCGGCGGTCATCCATCCCCATACTCCTGCAAAAGAAAGTGTGTATAATCTATTGATTTATATAGTAAACGAAAATCAGATTTAAAACACAAAAAGGTGAATAAATAACGTATAGATTATTAAGTGAATACCTAACCCAAGTAGCAGACAGCATTTGTCCAAAAATAAACGATCAGTTAAAAATGATTATTACTATTGTACTAATATAGAATTACAAATTGTTTCCTATAACCCTTTAAGTGGCCAGTATATTCCGTTTCACTATTTCTGCATAAGAAATACTATAAATGCATGTAATCATGTGACTATAATTAATTATTAAATATAGCGATGATACCTTTAGAAAATTATGCAACAATTAAAACAATGTAACTTAAAATCATAAAAATATGCTTTTAATTAAAAATACCAAAAGCGAATTTCCGTTTTAATGCGTGTTATTTATTACATTAGTTATAGCCTACATATTTGTAGTATAAGTTATTTTATACTGTATTTGTTTATTTGAAGAATTAGAGACTATTTTGTAATTTAATGATTATAAAATCCTTGAAGTACGGAGAAGGAATACGAAATATAAATGATTGATGATTATCCAATGAAACAATAAGAAATTCACTTGAGTATGATTGGTTAAAATATATTAGCCATACTATCTTTTAGTTGGTTGATTGGGCGTGATTTCTTGTAGGCCACACCTTGGATGAAATGTATTAACCGTGATTTGTTAGTGAATTATATCGGAATAGCGAATGAGAAGAAACAAAAATATCAAACAACCAATCTGTCAGCAATAGGAAAATACTGTATGCAATGCCTTGAAGTAAATAATTATATTTATTAACAATAATTGTAAAATATGCTTTCGGCATTGCATTTGATAATGNTTTCTTGTTACCAACTTTTGGAGGTGATTCAATAAGGTTTATAAAGAAAGAATAATTTGTGAGATAAAAAAAAAATTGTAATGAAAAAAGAATTTTAAATAACACCAACCTCATTAATTTTTAAAATTCCTTTTTATAGTTTTGTTGTTACTTTCCTAATAAAGTTTCATTTTTCAGGAAACAATTAGAACTGCTTTAGCAATGGGAGCTGATAGAGGAATTCATGTAGAAATAGAAGAATCACAATATGCATTTCTTCAGCCAATTCATGTTTCAAAAATATTAGCAAAACTAGCACAAGAAGAAAAGATTGATCTTATTATTTTAGGAAAACAAGTAATTTAGGTTTATTTAATTTAATGATTTTTTGATTTTGTTTTATTTGTAGTTTTAAAAAATTCTCTTTTAGGCAATTGATGATGATGCAAATCAAACTGCTCAAATGAGTGCTGCAGTTCTGGATTGGCCACAGGTATGAAACTTATAAACTACATATATATATATACACTTATATACTTTAAAAATCTTAAACACACAAGTTCCAAAAAGAAAAAGAATATTCATTAAAAATATAGGAATCTCTTGTCAAGCATGGTTTTGAAATAACACAATTTTTATCAAGAATTGAATCAATGAAAATATTACAAAAAGCTTTTATAATATTATAACATTTAATATTTTGATTACCAATAATTACCTTTTAAAATACAGTATAATGTTTAGTTTATATAATTAAAAAATTATTTATAATTAAATGCCAAAAATAACACTATTCTTTTCATCTATTTCTGTTGGCATACTACCAAATTTGTCATTTTATAAACATTGATTTAGTCACTAAATGTAGCTTGAGTTTTAAATGAGGACTGGAAACATTGTTGATGACTTATAAAGAAATGCAAAAAGATTGAAAAACTAAAATGAGTGAATCTTCAATGATTAGCTTTTTTTGTGGAGAGAGCTGTAATGCTTTTTAATCAGTTTTAACTTTTAAAATTTCTCATTTCTTATTATTTACTAAACTTTTCATTACATTATTGTATTTTTGGTGTAAAATTAAATTAATTATTATATAACATACATTTAGCATTGTGGTTGTTCTTATTCTTGTAATCCTTTATTGCTTGTAGAGCTTCTATTTTATCATGTAACCATGCCATTATAATTCAGAACATAATCTGTGCGGTTGGCAAAGAATGCCTGCATTAGACTTTCTATTTAAAAAGTATTCCATTGTTAAATGAAATTAGTTTATCATTATAGTAAAATGTAAACGTGCTTTCATTTATTGTTTCAATTGAATTCAATAAGCAAAGTTAAAAATAAAATATTTTTGAGTGTAATTTAAAATATAAATGTAAATTATTAATTACAGGAAAAATGTAAATGGATGATTTAATTTTATTGAAGTTTTCCTATATTGATACTAAAATTAGATGCCAATAGTATTATACTAGTAAAACATGTAAATTGTCATTTTCTCAAATGAAAGTATTAAATAATTGCTTTTTTTTTTTTCTTTCTTTTCTTTTTTTAAATATTAAGAGAGACAAATAAAACTAAAATATACTTTCAAGAATCTTACTGGTTTGTAATTACAGCAGATCACACTAAAGGAAATTTTTGGAAATGATATTTTTGATAAGAGAAAAAATGATTGATTAGCATGAACAAAGGTAAAATTTATTATACCAGTGAAGCTATTCAAGAATGTAAGTCAGCTTAAATTGCTGCTAGGGAAATGCAGATTCCTAAAGTAATTTATATCTTGTAAGAAAATTTGCTATAAATAATTTTGTTTTGGAAGTTAATATCTTGTAGTATTCATAAAATGGATATACTCTGACAAAAAATGATGATAGGTATCTAAATTATTTTTTTCCCAGTGACATAGCAAACTTGAAAAAAAATAAATTTTTACATTTTTTTCTTTTTCTGCTTTAAGAATGTGTCAGAATATTGAGAATATTTAAAATACTGTACATCAAAAATCAGTATTTTCAAGTTAATATTAATTACATTATTACCTCTTTTTTTCTATGAAGGAATAGTTGTGACGAAAAGCTCTCTCAACACACTTCAGCAATTTTTAATGCAGTAGAATCCAGAGGTATCTCCAGCTTTTGTTAATCTTTCTTTGGTATAGTATCTTGTCACATTAATTTTCAGGTTATTACACTGTAGACAGACTTAGCCATTTTGTTTTAACTCACTAAGTCCAAGACATTGAATTGGTTAACCACTTGTAATAGTTTTGTGGAAATAAATTTATTTTCATCTGAAGGCTGTTACTTGAAGCTTTCTAGAAATAAGTTTATACATATTACTAATTGCTTATAATTCACTTTAAAAAGATTTTATATGATCTGTTGACTATGTTACATTAAAAATTTTTTTAATTATTTGATTGATATTATGTATTCTTTGTTAACTTTCTTCTATTAACATGGAAATGAATAGAGGGAGAATTTGCAATTAATATCAAGATAATAGCAGTGGTAAATTGCCTGTGTCTGATGTAAATTACTTAATAATTAATTTATAACATTTAAAATGGCTTACAAATATCATTACGTTTAATTTAAAAATTAGACTTAGTTTATATATTTGAAAGAGATCTTTGATATAGAAGTATTGTAAATTGACAGATTTATAGAAATTAAGATGGTAAGATTAGAAGTTACTTTTATTCATTATTATTATGATTTATTAGTATTAATATAATTAAAATTCAAACATCATCACTATAACCTTGCTACTGAACAATCATTTAGCAAGAATTTAAATATTACATTGATAATCATTAATAACAAATAATTAAACATTACGTCAGCTATCAATATAAATACATATTAAATGAATATACAGGTGTCCCTTGCTTAACACAGGATTTGATTAATGAACAAAATTAATTGTGGCAATCCCTTTATATATGCAGCAGAAGTTTTAATTAACATGGCTTTAACAGCTGTCTTAAAATAGATATGTTTTTCTTGGCAAATAAAGTGTTGGGTGAATTTGCTATTTTCATGTTGAGGGTGATTTTCCAATATAGATATGACATTTAATTATTATAGTTACAAAATTTAACACATTACTGCTAATGTGATACTGTATTCTTTATTTAGAAGTTTATTTTAAAACTTTTTTGTATTTTGTTTGAATAAAATCAAATTGAAATATGTGCTAATGAAATACGTATCAGGCATATTATATATGCTTTTTACATTTTGTAAAGGATATAATGCTTTGCAAACAGTACAAAATACTCATGGTGTATGGGGAAGATGCTCCTAAACTTCAAACATGTCAAATGTGGTTTTGAACGTTTTATTTGGGAAATTTTGAACTAAAGGATACAAAAAGTATGGGGCAAGCAAAAGCATTTGATGAAGAGAACTTGTAGGAAGAAATTGTTAAAAATCAATTAATAATAACTCGTAAATGTGCAACAAATCTTAGTGTCATTGACATGATGATTGTTTTTTAACTTAATGCATGTGGAACACAAACTGGACCAGGTATAATTTTATCTGATGAAGATTGGCAGCTTTAAAGCTTCATTTTGTTTTTAAATTAGTTCCACATTTTTATCCTGGAAAACTTTACTTATGGATGACAAAATTAAAATTAAAATATTTGTTATTAAAAATTTGTTCTAGCAGGTGGTAATTGTTTGGTTGAGTATTGAGGTATAACTACTTGATTAATGCAATTTTGATATATGCAGTAGCATCAAGGGGTTAATGAACCATGTTAATCAAAGGATACCTGTACAAAGATCACTAACACTCATAACTGACAAAATCCAAATCATTATCTATTTCCATATGTTATTATTAATTAAGTCCTCGTGTCAAATATAACTTTTTTTAGTCACAGGAAGAAGGTTAATAACTTATACTTAATAAAATTATAGCTAGATGATTATTTATAAATAAAGATGTAAACTTTTATCAATATAATGTAGATTCATCACAATGCCGAACTGCTATTTTAATCATATTTTTAATTTATTTAATTTAAATTACATACTCTCCACCTCAAATTAATACTGTAGTGTCTTGCCCTTGTACATCATACTTTTCCTTTAACAATAGAGTTGTGCCAGTCATGTATTAACTGTTTTCAGGGGAAAAGTTTTTAATTGAAATAATGTGACTTTCAGTTTGCATTTGGAAGTTCATATAATAGTTAATTGGGCCTTGGTCTCATATATAAATATATATAGTTACTTGGGCCCCTAAGGTCTGGTCTCAGATTTAATCTATCTAACTCCATTCTTGAGATTAAGGAAAGACAGTGGGAATTTATAGGTCTACAATTTTTTCACATTGCAGCTCAATAAATATACAAATTTTTAAGAAGGAATAGTCAATTTAATCTATAATAATTATTAATCATGGTATCCCTCTGAGCCATATCCGCAACAATCTGTCCTTGTCACTGTATTCATTTTGATAAATAGCAGTAATAAGTTCCATCCCAAATCCTATATCTTATAATAATACAGACTGAAAAGTTGCCTTAAATATAGAACATAATTTATTTGGTAAAACTTGATCCCAAGGAATTCAATATGGTTCTACAATTAATTAATTGATTATATAATTTTTCACATTGAGTTTTCCATTTCATTCATTCATCTAAATATACTTCAAGACATTTAACTACAGTAATATCCCGAACTTATACGATAGGTGGGACCGAGTGATAACTGCGTAAGTCGAATTCATGTAAGTCGGGGTATAATTTCGCAATTTGTGTAAAATCCAAGTCAGATGTATGTAAGCTAATAAATGTTCTTGTTAATCTTATCTCGTCTTTTGATTCGTTCACGATTACAAGAAATCACCACATAGAGTCTGAAGTCTCCGTAGATATAACAAACACAGAAATAAATAACACAAAATAAATTGTAGCTATGCGTCGATTCCGTGCGACACGTCCGAACATATAAGCTGAACAATAGTGTGGGGGGCAGTGAGTAATCAAGAGCTGCATGGTGCTCAAACAAAAGACAAATCGAAGAGATTTGAAAATCGCGTAACTCCAGATTCACATAAGTCGAGGTATTACTGTATGTTTGTTTGTTTGAAAAGATTAAGTGTGAACAATCACACAATGAATTATCAGAACAGTCAAATATGATATTTTAAACGGTATTTTATATCAAATTTTTATTGCAACTATGATCAACTATGATGTTTTTTATTATATATATATATAAATTATAATATAATTAATTATATACAGTCGACCCCCCCTCTTATAATAATACAGACTGAAAAGTTGCCTTAAATATAGAACACGATACAATGGCGAAGCG